CTCTCTCTCTCTCTCTCTCTCTCTCTCTCTCTCTCTCTCTCTCTCTCTCTCTCTCTCTCTCTCTCTCTCTCTCTCTCTCTCTCTCTCTCCCTGTTAGATCGATACAGAAAAGATTGCCATGGTCCCTGCCCTGTGTCTTCAGAATGAAGACAAGGCAATCTTGCTCAGATATGGTGAAATGACCTACTAAGTTTGAGGACAGTCGGGGTTACAGGGTAATTGACATGAGGCATGGCGAACCGCAGAACTTCGCGGCAGAAGTGATTGGCTCATTGTAATGATTTGTACAAAGCTGGCCCACAGAAACAGCAGGCCACAATGAAGCAGGCCCGCGGAAACACAGCAGGCTGCCATCCTCATTGTGGTTGGTTTTGGGGAAATGGAAATGGTGACGGGAAGGGAGTGGAGCAAGTGGGGGGTTCGTGAAGGAGGTTGCGGGAGAAGGAAAGCGAGTTTTGCTGTGCAGGAAGCAGAAGTGAACCGATATTTTCATCTACAATCTCTGTACTCCGAAGGGCATGAAGTGGCGCTAAGGCCCGTGCAATGTGTATGGAAAAGCAATGACGATGAAACCCTCCTGAAGAAACTGGCATCGCTGAGCCTGTCTGGTAAACAGAGACCCGATACGGTTCCTTCGCAATCGGTCAGTGCTGCTCACAAACTGTACATATCGATTCGCAGTGTAGTTATACCCCTTTGTTTCAGAGATGGTTGGAACCCACAACTAGTTCCCGGAATGGTAGAATGTTGTTAACCGTCTGATGTATTGTTCCGTATACAGCGATGAACAGTAGAGATTGTGGTGGTTTCTGGTCATGTCAAGCTTTCTTTGATGTTTGTTTTAACTTTTAAGGGCCAGTCTAACTGACTCTCATTGTGTTAAGAAATGTTCTCAGAATGGTTCGAACTCATTTCTCAGAATGGTGCGAACTAGTTTTCGGAATGTTTCAAACTAGATTCAAACTAGGCTCCAGAATGTTTCAAACTAGGATGAAACTAGGCTCCAGAATGGCTCAATCTAGGTTCAAACTAGGCTCCAGAATGGTTCAAACTAGGTTCAAACTAGGTTCAAACTAGGCTCCAGAATGGTTCAAACTAGGTTCAAACTAGGTTCAAACTAGGTTCAAACTAGGGTCCAGAATGGTTCAAACTAGGCTCAAATAGGCTGCAGAACGGTTCGAACTTGGCTCCAGAATGGTTCAAACTAGGCTCCAGAATGGTGAGAACTAGTTTTTTCAGAATGGTGCGAACTAGTTTTCAGAATGTTTCGAATTAGGCTCCAGTATGGTTCAAACTAGGTTCAAACTAGGTTCCAGAATGGTTCGAGGTTAGTTTCTGGATAGAGCTTGATTTGCGGAACGTGGTTCAAACTAGTTCTCGGAATGGTTGAGTTTGGTTCCTTGTTCCTGGAGAACCTTAGAGAACAATTCTTGGAAGAATTGAATGGAGCACATAGTGCCTTGCTTTCAGAATAGTTTGAACCAGAATGGTTTGAACTCTGAACCTGATGATTCCTTTTTCTCAGAACCTTACGAATCAATTCTTGAACCAATGGAATGGAATGGTGGGGACCACACTGGCTTGCGTTTAGAATAGTTTTAAGTTTGAACCAGAATGGTTCGAACTCTGAACCAGGTATAGTGGCTGCTATACCGGTAGAGAGAAGACATGCCCTAATCTCCGGCCGTGGACACTCGTACTGCTGCTGTCTGCACGTCTAGTATGTCACCATGAAGTGAACATCTCTGGCGATAGTTCGGGTCTCGCTGCACTGTATAACATATCAGGAGCCTGTAGTGGTGTACCAACACATCCAAAATGTTGGACAAGACCGAATGTACCTCGTCTGACCCGAGTCCCGATCCAGCCAGGGACACTCGTACTCCTGCCGTCTGCACGTCTAGTATCTCATCATGAAGTGATCATCTCTGGCGATAGTTTGGGTCTAGCTGCATTGTCCGACATGTGAGATGTATCAGGAGCCTGTAGTGGTGCCAACACATCCGAAATGTTGTGGACAAGTCCGCATGTATGTGGTCTGATCCAAGTCCAGATCCATGTTGAATGCTGAGTAGTGGAGTGAGGCCCTTTTCCCTGATGCTCGCCTCGGGATAACCATGTGTGGATCTGTTTCTCTACTGGCGACTGTGGGGTTGTATGCTTCTCTGTATCTCAATGTATCTGGTCTACCTCAATGTATCTGGTCTACCGGTGCGTCCTCGACACAGCTTAACACCCATGCAAGATAAACGCACCCTTTTCACAATATCTGTGTAGTCGGGAACCTCTCTATTGGTATTAGGTCACCAGTCTCTTCTTTCCCTTTTGACCGGTTCCTGTTCCGGATATGGCGACGAGCCATTGTTATGGATGTTTGGGTGAGGGACGCAATCCACTCTATCTTATCTTTTCATATCTTATCATATGTTATCCATATCTTATCATATCTTCTCTTCTTATCTTCTCTCATCTTGTCTTCCATCATTTTCTCTCAAATTCTCTTATCTTCTCTTATCGTCTCTCGTCTCTCGTCTTGTCTTTTATCGTATCTTACTTCTCTTATCTTCTCTCATCTTGTCTTATCGTATCTTACGAGAGATGGTTAACGGGCGGCCAAATATTCTCAACATTTTCGCCGGCAATTTCGGTGTGCGAAATTCATCGAAAATTTCGAAGACAAACGATATGGGCCCATAGTGCAAACATAAAAAAAAAAAAAACAGGCCAAAGAAAATGAAAAAAAAAAAAGAAGAAAAAACACTATAAAAACCCTAACACAAAAACACTGTCCGAGTTATAAAAAACGAAGCGTCGAACGAACTCACCCAAATTCCAACTTTTGCACTATTGATCCGAACATGTCAAAACTGGACACATGTCAAACCCTGAAGCACATATATGTCTCTCTCACACAGAAAAACAAGAAAAAAGAAGCAAAAAAACAGCACAATGTGACAGTTTCGGTGCAAAATTCGCGGAATGTAACACCCGTGGTTAACCAACCACATGTATCTTTTTTTTCTTTTTCTTTTTTTTTGTGACTTTGGACCATTTCTCGATTTATGTGTGTCATCCTTGCGCAGGGGCCATGCTAATCTTCTCTGTATCGTTCCAATTTTAACGGATGGCCCGAAGGACACCAACCACATTGTATCTTACTTCTCTTTATCTTCTCTCATTTTCTCGTTTCTTCTCTTATCTTCTACAAGTTCTCGTCTTGTCTTTCTCATCGTCTTATCATCTCTTATCTTCTATAAGTTCTCGCCTTGTCTTTATCTTCTCTTCTCTTGTCTTCATGTTCTCTTAATTTTATATCTAATAAGTAGTAATAACACATTTAAGATCTGTAGACGTGCAGCATTCGAGGGAGGGTTTCCGAAACACCGATGACTGGAGGGAAATGGCCCTGGCCCGGTCATTATAGTTGTATGTACGTAGACTGAAAGGTGGCCTGAATACTGTGATAACGATAGGGCATTCTGCTCAGGTGAACATCCAGCTGGTTCAAACCTGGTGGTCGGTGGTCCCCACTTGTCAGTAGCATGTAGCTTGTTCCCCATAATAG